TGGTGTATATCTAGGTATACACCAAGATGGTGGGGCCAATATCGGCGTGTGACATCACCTGATGCCAAGCATGCATGGCGTCATGTAACCTCATGCGCCCTGCCTCCAAGATGGTGGCACGCATTCACAGAACACGCCGGTGGCCAATATGGCCGCCGCACATTCTCAAACAAATTACTAAGCGCCTGAATATATTTTTCGTATATTCGGACATATAGTAATTCATTCATTTTACACGTAGTCTGGGTTTTGTGTTCTGTTTTCTATTTTTACTTTTCTAGATGCACTTACTTGAAAAAAGGGTCGGCGTGACAACCTGACACGTTATTTTTATAGACTCTATTGTAGTTTGACATTTATTGTTTGCCTTCTGTTTTATCTGATAAGAATACTTATATTGTGCCGACAAGTTTAATACCTTTTTGAATAAGTTTTATTTTTATCATACTTTTTAATATGTTTCTTTGCGGCTTAACAAAATAGGAGTCTTTAAATGGTGCTGATATTGGGAAAAATGGGCTGAGCTAATAAGATACTTATTCACGCCCAGTTATATCTCATCTTGACTTTTGCAACTCCCTTCTCATTGGCCAACATTTGCACTATTTATCCCTTCAGGCTATCATGAATATTGCTGCCAGATTCATTCACCGTACCAGCCACTCTGTCTCCCACCCTTCTGCCAGTCCCTCCACTGGCTTCTGCTACCACAATAAAAGAAGAACCCGGGGGCAAAAAAAATGTTTAACCCTTGCAGTGGGGCTCTCTCCGCCCTGCAAGGGTTAATTGCTTATTTTCATCTGGGTGCAAAAATAAAAGTTATATTCGCCCAATCTGCTGAACTTGCTGGCTGTCACAGCGCTCCCTCCAGTCTGTCCTACGCTGCAGCGTTGGTATGTCCCTCTAAGTCCTCACGCCTTTACACAGTGTAGAGAATGATGACAACGGGGTCCTCAGACACAATGCAGGGGGAGAGACACTGGAAGGACCGGTCTAAGAACAAGTCAGCTCAGAGGTTTGGGTGAGTATAACATTATTATTTTTGTACCGAGATGAAAATGAACAGTTATCCCTTGCAGTGCATTCCCACTGCAAGGGTTAATACAAATTTCAAAATACTAACAAGAACATACAAAGCCATCCACAATTCTGCCCTGAGCTATCTCACCAACCTTGCCTCAAAGTATCACTCAGACCACCCTGTTCTCTAGCTAAAGTTGACAACTTTTTCAATCGATTATAATCGATTATGTCGATTAGTTGTTGCAGCCCTATCTAGCTCCGTCGTCACCTTTTCCCATGCTCACCTCCAGGATGTTTCTAGAGTCTTTCCCACCCTCTTTAGCTCCCTACCACAATTTCTCCATCTATATCCTACTGTTTACCTTTTTAGGCGATCTCTGAAAACCTTTTTATTTAGGGAAGTTTACCCTGCCTCTACGTAATGACTGAACTGTATTTTTTTTTTTCTACTACATCCCCATTCAGATTGTAAGCCATTGTGATCAGGGCCCTTCTTACCAACCGTGTCTTGTATTGTATCTGTACTGTCTCCCTTTTATTTTGTAAAACACTGCTCAAACTGTTGGAGCGATTATAGATCCTGTATTATTATTATTATTGTCATAATAATGGCCCTGCCTCGCAGCAACGCACATTTGGACCTAAATTTCTCCTGACCCTAAACTTCACCCTGGCCTTAACATTAAGTGTTGGCTCTAAAACATAACCTGCACTTAACTCCTTTAAAGGTGCCCACACACCTTGTGATTATCGTACGATAATCGCGGGAAATCCCGCGATCGTACAATAATCGCAAGGTGTATGGAAGGTGTGTGACCGTTTCTACTGTAGGTTGAACTCGATGGGCTTGTGTCTTTTTTCAACCTGACTAACTATGTAACTATGTCGCACATCTTTTGTCTCCTGTGCAGGCTTGAAAACCCGCCGAGAATCATACGATTGTCGGCTGGTTAGTGCCGTTCTCGGGAGACCAATGCAGAACGGGCCGGTGTGCGCATGTTCAGCATTTCAGTCATCGGAAGCCCGCCCCTCTGGGGGGCATGTTTGCAATGATCGCACGTACGATCTGCCTGCCTAAGATGGACGGATCGTACGTTTTTTTTAAATTACGTGTATGGGCACCTTAAGACTAGGCTAACTCCTGCAAATGATCTATACATGGCATGTCATCTTTAAAGCTATCGGGTGCCATCCTGTGCCAAGATCTGCACAGAAAACCCACATAGTCCAAGTGCTAACAAAACGGAGTGCGGGTTTATTGGTGTGTTTGCAGCAGTATTGGATGTGCTCCTTAGCAGAGCCTTTTAAAATTTTTTTCCAGGGGATTGATTTTCCATTTTAAAATTACAATTTTGCATCAGATCCATGAGAATGGCTTTTTAAATTGCCTTTCTTCAGTACTTTGTGCTAGTTTCTGGCGTTTAACGCGAACATTTAAAATGATAATGGTATCTAACCTTTTGAGAATTACCATGCAGCTGAGAGTTTGTAAGGTTGCCTGCAGGAAAGAAAATTGTTAAAACTGATTCTTCTGTATCTAACCCACGCTGCCCGGAATGAGTCATTGTGGGGGTGGCACTATTGCTGTATGGAGGGAGTTAAGTAAAGGTTCTCAAACTTGGGACGTAATGGGGTGTAATATGGTAGATGGTATTGTATATATCAGGCATCGGAAAGCTGTGGCCCCCCAGTTCTTGAAGTAAGCTAGGTATCGGATTTCTTTTTTTTAATGATAAAATAGATGTAACCCTAACTGAATGAATGGCATGTTTGTTAAAGCAATCTATATTAACAATTGCCATTTTTTAAATAAGATGCTTGTTTCCAGTTTTTGTTGCATCTCGCTGCTACTGATCTCCTGTCCAAGTCTTGAGACTGAAATATCCAGCCACTTCTGTCCAAGTCTTGAGACTGAAATTTGAGGATTGTGTTTTATCTGATCAACTTCATTAAAGGAGAACTATGAGGTGAGCAATTTCCACTCATCCTCATAGTTCGAGCTGATCTGTGACAAAGAAACTGTCACAGGTCGGCTCGGCTCTATCGATCGGGAAGTGAGCAGAAACATGCAGCCGATCCGCTCACTTCCCTAACGTCTCCCTGCTGTGACTGTCAGTCATGGCTCCCCGCAAGGATTCCCTCCCTCCCTGCTCCGATCCTCCTGCGCTGAATGGGGGAGGGGGCGGGTACAGCTGGCTCTGCCTCCTAGATGGGCATAGCCCGCTGTCACTCACACAGCTGGGTGGATCTCGACAGTATTGTCGGGATTCGTCCCGGCTGCAGCACTCAGTTGCCCACGATATACTGAGCTTTGGGTCACGGGAGGAGTTCAGTATATGTCCTCCCGTGACCCTAAAGAGAACTATTGCGAAAAACACTTATCCCATAGCTCTTTTAACCAGTTGATGACCGGGGTGTTAAACCCACTTCCTGTCCAGCCCATTTTTCAGTATTCAGCGCTGTGGTACTTTGACATTTAGTCTGTTATGCAACGCCATAACGAAAATAATTTTGTATTGTTGGGGTACACATAGCGCTCTCTTTTGGTATTTTTTTTACTCTTTAAAGAAAACAGTTTAGGGGAAAAAACTATTTCCCTACATTGTTATAAAACATTTTATTCAATTTTTGCTCAAATATAAAACACTGGGTCACATCAGATTGACGCCAAACATGCCAAGACTTAACCCCTTCGTGACTGACGATAAAAAAAAAAAAAAAGTTTTTTAAATTTAAATAAAATAAATCTAATAATAAATGTTAAAAGTCCCCCGCCTCAGTCATGAAGGGGTTAAAATTACACGCGCCTGCGAAATAGCAAAAAACTACCATACCCAAAATTGACCATAGGCGACGCTTTAAAAACTTTTACTGCTCATCAATTTATGTGACTCCATTTTTTATTTTTTTTAAACTTCCTGGTCCATTTTGGCATAAATGATGTATGCCAAAGTGTTGTATCCTGGGAAGGTTGCATCAGCAGAACATTGTTGGGAAATCTGTAATCACACGAGATATCAGGGAAAGGCATTTTCTTCTCCTGAGATGTGCATGGTCACATGTGCCAGAGTTCCAGGAAGTAAAGGGAGATCTAGTAATCTGACTTTAGTTAAAATGGCCACTGTCAGAAGACTGAGAAAGAAAATGGAAATAATGTATGCAAAGAATACAAAGCCTGCAATTATCTAGAAGTATGTGTTTGTAGCTTGTCATTCCTAAACATTTCTAAAGGTGTGTTTGTTGGTGTTTTAAAGATATGGGAAAAGTTCCTCTTTAACTTTATTGCTAAGAAGCCCCCTATGTGATAGCAAAGAGGATCATAGGTGCAAGAGGATCATAGGTGGGGTCCTTAGGTGACCCCATATGTCACCTAAGGACCCCCAAAGATGCTAATGAAGCAGAGATCTGTCACCAGCTTCTCTCCAGCTACAAAGCCTGGAAAAATGACAGCTGAAGGGAGAAGTGATGTAATACACAATTTCAGCATTCAGAAGGAAGATCAGCAGGAGATTTTGTGCTGATCTCAGTACCGAGAGCTTATGTTCTGGTCCCGGGCCTGCACTGGGCACAGTGGAGCCCGGGATAGGAGTGATTGGGTGGTTCTACAGCCGCCCAAGCGCTTGTATGTAAACAGTCAAGCCACCTCTGAATCGACAAGGCCCCCTCACACCATTTCAAGGAAATAGACGCAAGAAGAAATTTTAACCCTTAAAACCCTAACCCATGTAAAAGCTATTTAAACTGCAAGAAGCTTCTTCTTTTTTTTTTTTAGCTTATGCTATGTGAATGAGAACAAATATAAAATAGGTGTTATCACAATTTGGCTGTAAAAGTTAAATGCACTTTAATATTATATCTAAGCTACTGTGGATAATGAAACTTTGTGAAAACTTTAAATGAGGCCTCGGCTTTAAGAGTTGGTTTACAATAGCTGTTTGGATCATATTCTGTAACATGTATTTCCTCATTTGTTTCAGGCTACTGAACTGAAAGAAAAAGGTAACAAAGCCCTCTCAGCTGGAGATTTGGATGAAGCAGTGCGATGCTACACTGAAGCCATCAAACTAGACCCCAAAAATCATGTCCTTTATAGCAACCGCTCTGCAGCATATGCCAAAAAGAGGGAATATGCCAAAGCTCTGGAAGATGGATGCAAAACTGTTGAGCTTAAAGCAGACTGGGGCAAGGTATGTGCATGCAATGCCTTCATTTCATATGTTAAGCAGCTCATAGATGTGAGATGACATGGGAGACATTCTCATGGCTGTTGACCGGCAGATATTTGGTAGCTCACAAATGCTGTCAGGAAGATTAGAAATCCTGTGTCTCTGTTCTCCTGGGAAGTAAGCATTAGTGGCACATCTGCTTGTAGAGTTCCCGTGCTTCTTCTTCTTCCTTTGCCATATCACTTACATGATCTTTCTAGCTTGGCCAAGCTAATCTTACAACTTGCTTCTTCTGCTCTGAGTACAGTCAGATTGTGCCTGTACATCTCACCACCCTATTAAGATTATACACAGCCTAGAACAGTTCTGATGTTCCGAATTCAGTAACCTAAAGTAGTCCATCATCGGAGTGAGCTTGGAGCGGTGACTACTGTACAACACACATGGGGACCATGGGGAACAAAAGTAGCCACCCTCCAGAAGGAAGGACAGTGCAGCATGAATTCAGAGATGATTTGAGGATCTACAGCCGAGTGATACACAAATAAGTAACATTTTTGTTAATAGTTAAGGTACTTGAATGCATTTTTTAGGTTTAACTCTTTGAGTTTAGTGTCACTTTAATACTTTATTTGCTTCTAAATCTCAAGCTGTGGATGAATGCAGCACATTCAAGTTACACAATAAGACAGTGGTTCTCAACCTGTGTAACCTCAGGACCCACATTTGCCCTTGGTCATTAGCATATACTTAATCAAGTAGTGGTAAGCTGCAATATATTGGGTTTAGATGCAGTCTAAGTGTATAAGTACAGGAGGGTTAGATGGAAAGGGGGGCTTTAGTCTGGGGGATAAAACGCTGGCTAACTACTATTCACCATGATTTTCTCTGGCACTAACAGTTTTCAGCACTAGGCTCCTGGCACTGAAAACCATATACAAGCCTTTTAGAGGTGTGCAGAAGATCTAAGGCCCAGTCATGTAAGTCTTACAAATTCATCTGAGTCTCATGGGATCTGCTGTAGGCAGGCGGTGCTGTATAATCTGACAGCTGCTGTCACCTGCTGTCACCTGCAGCCGTTCACATGCCGTTCACAAATAATCGCTGTCCCTGCGACTACCTGCGGACGGTCATGCCTGGATGTATACAGTCTGTTCCGGTGCGGTCATCCACAGGGAATCGCAGGGACTGTGAACAGTTGCAGGTGGTGGCAACTGTCATAGGATTATCCAGCACCTCCTGTCTGCAGCAGATCGCATGAGTCTCATGGAGGAATCTGTGAGACTCCTGTAACTGGCCCCATTCACAGGTGTAAATGGGGCCTTAGGGTAACCATGTTGGAGGTGAATAGTCAGATTGAGCAATTGTCTCATCTCTGTGAGTGGACCTCCAGCCTGCCATTTGGTTACTGTCTAGTGGGAATAATTCATTGGACAGGTTCCAAATGTTGTCCTATTCACTACTGTTTAATGTCATAAGTCGGGTCCTCCTCACAGCCCTTACCTCTCCTTTAAAACTACTTGTAGGTTTAGTTAAGTCAGTAGAGCTGTTGGCATGCCCTTTATGTGGTCCAAATCATGCATTTCTTATCTGTTTCTTTCTAAAGGACTAAAGCTGGCAATGCAGGAGGTTTTTTTTTTGTTTTTTTTTTTTAATTCAAAAGATTTTATTGAAGACGTCAGGCAATACAGTAGAAATACAGTACACTATAAGTAAAGTCCGAACAATCAGTCATACAGAAATCTTCCAACTGTCAACGTAAATAGCCGCGAAAAGTAACAATCCTACAGGCATATACCTAGTTCCGCATCAATATCGGAGCTCCATCGCATGATGGGGTAAATACTTGGTGAAGAACTCTAGGGGGAGCCATGTACCTTAAGCATCTTAGGGCAGCTAAGCAATGTCAAGATTAACGATAGTATGTCTCTACATGTAACATCCACTGCCATATTGTTAAGGACTGCTCTGTGACCTTCCTGCCCTCCATGTGCACAGCTGCTGGAGTATATGAACAGGTTATGAAAAAGGCAAAGCAGCGAAGAACAGAGTGAACCAGGATGGGGAGAGAGCAGGAGCAGGAAAAGAGGGAGGGGGGAGGGGTTAAGACCCACGTACGGGGTCTCCCATGCCATCCGTCCCCAGCAAAGTCAGTCGGTCTGGGCATATTTCATTTGGTCATGTGTTGGAGATAGCCATCTGTATCTCTGAAGTAGACCCACGGTCTCCAAGTGAAGTTAAACCGCTCCTCAGTGTTTTTCAGGGAGGCAGTCAGGTCTTCCATCTTATAGGTGTCGTTCACCCTGGAATACCAAAGCTGTATAGAGGGAGGTTGAGGAGACTTCCAAAGCAGTGGGATACAGGCCCGTGCTGCGTTCACAAGATGCACCGTGAGGGAGGATTTGTATCTGGCCAGAGAGCGTTTGGGCACGTGCAATAGGCAGGCGGCCGGGTTGTCGTGCAGGTCAACCATGGTCAGGGAGCGCACCACCTCGGCCACGGTGTTCCAAAAGCTGCGCAACTTTGTGCAGGACCAAAAGATGTGCATGAGAGGCAGAACATCTCCAGCACATAGGGGAGATGGAGGCATCAAACTTATTCAAAACGGTGGGCACTCTGTACCAGCGCGTGAGAAGTTTGTAACCAGCTTCCTGATAGTTGTTTGCCATCGAGGATTTGTGTGCAATAGCTAGCACGTTCGCCCTTTGCTGGGGGGTGAGTTCCACGTTCAGGTCGGCTTCCCATTTAGCCAGGAAAGGGGGGACATAGTCCTGTGGGGGGGGAGACAGTAGCACGTAGATGGTAGAGACAGCGTGTCTGGATGGTGAACTTCCCCTGCACATGTGTTTGAAGGTCGTGCACGGTCTGTCCAGGGTCTGCGGAGAGGGAACCGCTCTCAGATAGTGCCCGAGCTGTAATACACTCCAGTGGTCCAGGGGGGTCAGTCAAGTCACTCAAGGCAGGACCCCTAAGCCACTGCGAGGTGGATCGAAAAGTCGATCATCCTGAACTTGTTCGCCTGCAGGAGTCGGAGGAGTCTCGCATTTTCATAGCCCGGGCGGAAATCGGAGTCGCCTAGGACCGGGGTGAGAGGAGATGGGGAGGGCGATAGGTTGGTGTTACTCGGTACTCTCCTTGCCACCAGGATAGTGTTGTGAAGGATGGGATGTTGTTTGATCTCGGGGTAAGGGGGAGGCTAGCCACGGTAATCCCTCGATGGGGAACCGATAAACCCCTTTTTCCATATCCACCCATTGTTTCTCCATGGACACCCAATAGACATCCAGAAGTCTATTCAATTGGGTGGCCTTGTAGTAGGATTGAAAGTCAGGGAGGCCCACGCCCCCCATTGACTTGGGGAGGGATAGGATACGCCTACTTATTCGGGGAGAGCCACCCCCCCCAAATAAAGGACACACATTCCGTAGATAGTTGACGGAAAAAAAGAGGTGGCAGTCTAACTGGGATGGCCTGAAGAAGGTATAGCAATCTGGGCAGGACCGTCATCTTTAGGGAGTTACATCTGCCGAACCATGACAATGAAAGGGTTCTCCAAAGACTAAGGTCCTGCTTGAGCCTGTGGAAAAATGGGACAAAGTTGGCTTCATAAAGGGCTGATAGGTCAGGGGTAATATGGGTCCCTAAATACTTAATGCTGTCATCCTTCCAGCGAAAAGGGAGGGATCGTCGGAGGTGTGGGATCGAGGCGGGAGGCAGGGAGGTATTAAGCGCCGATGACTTCGAGAAGTTGATCTTAAAATTGGAGAGGGAGCCATATGAGGAGAGGATGTCCAGCAAGTGAGGCAAGGAAGTTTCAGGGGAGGTGACAAAGAAGATGAGATCATCCGCATAGGCGGCAAGCTTGTGGGCTCCAGATGGTGTTGGCAGTCCAGGGAAGTTCGGAGAGGCCCACACTGTGCATAAGAGGGGTTCTAGAGTGAGGGCAAAGATTACGGGGGACAAAGGGCACCCCTGCCGGGTTCCGTTAGATAAAAGGAAGTATGATGAGCGAGCCTCGTTAACCTGTACTGCAGCCGTGGAGGTAGAATAAAGCGCTAGTATCCAGGACATCATATTAGGGCCCAACCCAACGTGGCGTAGAGTGGATCGTAAGAACCCCCCAGTCTACCCTGTCAAAGGCCTTTTCCGCGTCTGTCGACAGCAGCATCATAGGCGTAGCGTGAGATTGAGCATGTTGGATGGCGTTGAGGACTCTGGTAGTGTTGTCTCTGGCCTCCCTCCCTGGTATGAACCCCACCTGGTCAAAATGTATTAGCTTAGGTAGATATGGGAGTAGCCTATTTAGTTATGATTTTGGCAAACAATTTCAGGTCTGCATTCAGAAGTGCAATTGGGCGATAACTGCCACATTGAGTAGGGCCCTTGTCTGGTTTCGGGATGACCACTATGTGAGACCTCAGTGCGTCCGTCGTCATGGGGGCACCCGTTACGATGGCGTTATAGGCGGCCAGAAAGAGGATCATAAGATCCGCCATAAAGGTCTTATAATAGGCCAACGTAAATCCGTCGGGACCCGGGGCCTTACCGGTGGACTGTTTTGTCGCTGCAATTAGTTCCTCCTTGGCGACGGCGGGTTGGGAGGGTCGGGCTGTAAGTTATCGTAGCAGGTTCTGAACTCGGTCGCTATGTCACTGGAAAGGAGTGTCATCCTTCCCGTGGAAGATTGAATACGTGGGATAAAAGTTTTGGTTTGCGGGCCCCTAAGGGCTCTGGCCAGTAACTTGCCCGGTTTTTTCGAGTACTCGTACTCGCATATGGTGCGTTTGCCCCGCAAAAGACGCTGTTTAGTTTTTGTAAATAAAAGATTGTTAAGCTCTTCCCGCACTCGTATTTTTTTTTTTTTTTCCTTTTCTTTACTTCCACCGCTCAAAGCTTGCTCCTGTGATGGACTACAATCTCAATACAAACTAGTAGTCCATCACTGGAGCCATTTTTTTAAATGTATTTAATTTTTTTTATCCGATTTAATCGAACTTAATAATTGTCCAACTAATCGATTTTGAAAATAATTGTTAGCTGCAGCTCTAATCTCCAGTTCTCTAAACAGTTCTCCTACCCGCTGTCCCCTCTCCCTTTTCCTACGAGCCCCATGCTTAATAAGGACACCACGTATTTCACATTTATGTGCTTCCCACGTGGACAGAGGGGACGATACCGAGCAGTTATTGACCGAGAAGAAGGAGCGCAGTTCTCGCTCGAGGTCATCTCTGATCAAGTGGTCCTGTAGAAGGGACTCATTTAGCCTCCAGGAGGAACTCGAGGTGGTGGGAGCTGAGAGATCGAGGGACAAATGGACTGGCGCGTGATCGGAAAGAATGTCACCAATATCCGTCGAGAGTACCGTGGGGAGATCTCGGTGTTGTATAAAGAAATAGTCGGTCCTTGAATATGCTTGGTGGGCAGCGGAGTAAAAGGTGTAGTCCCTATTTTGGGGGTGTAGTAGGTGCCACGGATCCATCAGGTGGAGCGACAGCAGTTCTGATTTTAGACTCCAGAGGTAGGAGTAGGAAAGATGCGAGGTGCCCCTAGAGACATCAAGCATGGGGTCCAAGGCGAAATTGAAATCACCCCCCAGCAGGATCTCCGAATTGTGCTATATTAGTCACCAGGGTCCGTAGGAAGCCCAGCTGATCAGAGTTGGGGAAGTTCACATTGACCATGGTGACTTGCAGCTGGCCCAGTATGCCCTTAACCAGCAAGTACCTACCCCCGGGATCCACCAATTGGTCCTGAAATTGCCACGCTACCGACTTGGCCAGCAAAATGCTTACCCCCTTTGTTTTAGTAAGGGGGAAAGGGCAATGGTATACTACCGGGAAGTATCTATTTTGTAGCCTGGGGATATTGTCCTGCTAAAAATGTGTTTCCTGGAGAAAGACCACTTGTGAGTTGGATTTCCGTAGGTCCACCAGTAGTCGAGACCGCTTCTCCGGGACATTAAGCCCCTTAACATTAAATGTTGTCAGCTTAAGCGGGCCCATGTTGACAATTCAAGGACTCTGCTAGCTGACTGAGGGGCGGGAGACCCAGCAGGAGGGGGAAAGATGAGCAGGTAGGGACCAAAATAGGGGGGTCGAGAAAAGGGGTGTGGGACGGCAAAGGGAAGGTGAGAAGGAGGAGGGGAAAGTAGATTGGAGAATGAGGAGAGGTAATACCAGTAGAGAGTAGAGGAAGCAGTTTTTCCCCAAGGGATGGGCGGGAGTCGGGGCGGGAGTCGGACCAATCTATTGGTCCGATCAGTTCCTAAGGGGGGAGTCCCAGTGCGTGAAACGCTGGGACGGCCTATTTAGGGGTAACCGAAGTGCTTGCAGCAGAGACTCCAGTAGAGATATGACTCGCGTCGGGAAGTGTCCAACCGATCCCCAGTGCGCAGTGATACGACCCAATAGTGAGGCCGTACTGCAACTCAGTCACTCTCGTCACCCAGGGGGGGAGGATCAGGGAGACCACCCGCAGCAGCTCTGCATGACCCAATGCAGGGGGGGTTCCGCCGCTTGAGCCCGACAGGCAGTGGAGGGGCACATCATGTAAATGCATATATTCATCACAATACCATGGCAAGTCTAAGACGGATACCAACAACATCAAAGAGCCAATGTAGCGGCAGCATTCCCGTGGGGTCACTGCCGAGACCCCATCTGCCCCAGCTGCAGTACCGCTAGCCAGGGTGCAGGGGAGTAAAGGTACTCCACCCCTTAACTAGGGGAAGTGCAGCGAGTGCCCCGCTAGATCTCATACTTCTACCTCCTGTGTGAAAGAAGGACATGTTAGTAAGTGCCTGGTCCCGGCAGGCAGTGGAGGGGCACAACATTTAAAGGCATATGTTCATCCCAATACCCTGGTTAGTCTAAAACAGTTAGCATCGACATCATGGAGCCAGAGTGGCGGCAGCGGACCAGCGGGACCACCGTCTCAACATCAGTCCCCTCATCTGCAGTTCCTCTAACCAAGGAGCAGGGGAGCAAAGGTACTCCACCCCTTAGCGAGGGGAAGTGCAGCGAGTGCCCCGCCTGCCCTAAGGCATCCACCACCTGTATGGGAGAAGGCCATGTTGGCAAATGCCAGTGAAACCGTGCAAAAACATAGAATAGGAAATACCATAACATAACATATGAACTAGTGAAACCGAATTATCTTCCTATGGGGGATACACCAGGAGATCCTAGTGGACCCAAGCCACCCTCCTCCCCCGCCCATCTGGTAACCATCACGTAAACTAGGGGGCGCCATATAAAGGGTATGGGGAGCTAGCTTCAGAGGGGGGTCCACTTCAATGGAAATTCGTCAGGTCTCACGTGCAGATTAGGGTTCACTCCGATTTGGTCCTGGATGGAGGGAAGCATCTCGCAGCGGAGGTCTGTCCCGTCTCCGAATAGGGTAGGGGGATCTCCTCGGGAGGGGGGGGTCTGCAGCCCGGGTAAGTGGGAAATCCAGCCAGTTAGGCACTTCAACAGCGCTCGAGTCCAGGAAGCTGTAGAGATCGGAGAGCTGGTCTGGAGAGTGTAGGAAGAAGGATCTGTCATTCCGTCGTACAATGAGGTGAAATGGATGCCCCCATCTATACGTGGCCCCCACCGAGTGGATGAGGTCCAGCACAGGCTGAAGGAGTCTGCGCATCTGCAGGGTGTGTCTGGACAGGTCTGGCATCACCTGTGTGGGGGCCCCATCAAAATCCAGTGGGCCCTGCGACCAGACCCGAATCTCTTCCTTGATGGCAAAGAAATAAACCTGGCACAGCACGTCCCGGGGGGCGCCCTCAGCACTGAGCCTGGGCCCCTGCGCCCGGTGCACCCTGTCAAGTTCGAGGTGTTCCGTGGGGGGTCTGCCCAAGTATTGATTCAGAATAGCTGTGACAGGTCTCTCCCGGCCGTTGCTTCGGGATAGCCTTTCAGCCGGAGGTTATTCCTGCGGTTCTGGTTCTCTAAATCGTCATGAGCAAGGGACATGGCGGTCATACGCTGGTTAGATTCCGATTGGGCCCTTTCAAGGGCAGCTAACCTGGCTGCAAATCCATCAGAGGTTGTCTCTAGCGTGCCTACCTTCCCCTCTAGTGAGGCCACCTGCTGCTTCACCTCTGCCACCTCAGTCCTCAGGGCCGCCACTATCTTTGAGGCCATGCTGTCCAGATCTGCCTTCGTCAGCAGGTGGGAGAGGGCATCTCTCCAGTCATTGGCCGGGCCTCCTGGGGAGCTAGCTGTGCTGCGGGATCCCACCGATCCCCTGTCAGAATCCATGCTGGGAATCAGGAGGGTTCGAGTTGCTGGAGGAGCTCGTGGGCCAGGCCGAGTCTTACCCTGCACCTTGTGTGGAGTGGCGGCAGCAGTCGAGGCCAAGGCTCTGGTAGGCCCCATCGCGGTCGCCAGATCGGCGGTAGTCTGCGGCTGCGCGGGCGAGAAGTAGCGGCGTAGGTCCGGTCCCCTGGAGGTCTCGGGAGTGCTGGCGAGATTCAGGCGGCTGAGCATCCGCGGCACCGGGTCGGTATCGTCGTTGAAAACGGCTTCTGGCTTCGGCGGTCACAGAGCTCCAGTGATCTGCGTGCTCACTCGGCCATGTCGAGACCACGCCCCAGGAGGTTTTTTTTTAAGCAGCTGATGAATACCTGAACAGTGACTGCATCTGATAGAATGCAGTAAAACTTCAGTTGATGGTTAGTAATTTGGCTTCGGACTATCTGTAGTTTGAAATTTGGCAAGTTCAGCAGGAATCAGCCAAAATAGTCATCTTTGGCCAGCTTTAGGGTAAATGTAGGTCACCCATTGATTTTTTTTTTTTGATTTTTTTTAAATCGCCTATTGTACTGTAATTCAGGTAATGTTGGAAAGCTGTGCATTTACATTGAAAGAATCACTTCCAATGCTACTGGACAGTTAGATTAACGTTGGAAATATTTTCCCACATGGCAGAACATCTTTTTGAGTGAATCCTGAATGCCTCAAAATGTTCAGTATAAATTTTACTTGCCTTCAACTCTACTCCTCTGAGATCTTCACTGTGGAGCTGTTCCTGCGCTACACAATCTCTGCCTGACGTCTTCACTTTGATCAAAAACCAGTCCATCAGCCTGCTGAGGAGCTTTCCATTGAAAGTGTATAAAGATTACAACATGCATTTGTGGTGCTGCTCTGGAGTTGGCAGGCCAATCATTTGTATCTGGCACTTGAGTTAAGGAACTTCTTCCATGGCACAAATGCATTTTGCTTTGCAACAAATTTCTTTTGAAAACGTCACCAAACGTTAGGAAGAAATGCTTATTTGGCTGCAGTAAATATTCCTATTTAATACCCTTTTCAGTTGTTTTCAAAAATACAAAGAGCTTGTTGATCGTGTAACTGTTGATTTTGTGTCCATGTTCCAAGCTGCTTAGCTTTTTATTTATTTTCCCTCTAGGGTTACTCAAGAAAAGCAGCAGCTCTGGAATTTCTTAACCGCTTTGAGGAGGCAAAAAAAACCTATGAAGAGGGTCTTCGGCATGAGCCAACAAATGCACAACTGAAAGAAGGCCTGCAAAACATGGAGGCCAGGCTGGCAGGTACAGATCCTTTTTTACTATGTACCTCTAGTGCCACTAACTACTTTTGGGACTCAGGGTTGTGTGTCTAAAAATGTATTTTGAGTGAGTATGATGTCCTATCTCTTTAGAAATTCACTGGGAGATGAGATGTGACTTAATATGCTAGTAGTTTAGAGCTGATTTTGCCTTTTTTTTTTTTTTTTTTGCAGAGAGGAAGTTCATGAATCCTTTCAACTCTCCCAACTTATTCCAGAAGCTAGAATCAGACCCTCGTACGAGAGCCCTTCTCAGTGACCCAAGTTATAAAGAATTGATAGAGCAACTAAGGAACAAGCCATCTGACCTAGGAACGTAAGTTGAATTTTACCTATAAGAATGTAGAATCTACAAGGGAGCCGTGATTAGTGCTAATGCTACTTACCGTATTTGCCGGCGTATAAGACGGGTTTTGAAACCTTAACACATCCCCCAAAAATCGGGGGTCGTCTTATACGCCGGGTACATACAGAAGTATATGTAGCTTCGGCTACATACAGTATACCGCGCTGAGCCAATCACGGCATGCTTTGTATTAATGAATACAAAGCCTGCCATGATTTGTCTCAGCGGAAGACTGAGGACACAGCGGGGATCGTGGACATGGTAAGAGACTGTAATCCCGATTGTGGCTCGGGGGTTACCGCTTATGGTACTGAAAATTAACCCTGAGCCACACTCGGGAATACCGCCATGGATGTTACTGGGTGCATTTAAACATTATTTTGGGCTATACTCGTCTTATATGACGAGTATAGCCCAAAACCATATTTTAACACAAAGTAGGGGTCGTCTTATACGCTGGCAAATACGGTACTCCTGGGAAGGAAAATAGCAGTTCTCTCTCGTAAGTCCTTTTCTAAATACTAGTATTTGCATACCAGAGTATTTCAATTTTCTGGTTTTGTAGATTTTTATATTTATTTTGGCTGAAACAGTTTAAATAAATCAAATTGGACATGGCCACTGTTGTAAGTTCTTCAGCAGTCATATGAGCATATGTTGTAGGTCTTCTTTTTTTCTTTTTTTTTTCTTCTTTTGCTTTGTAGAAAGCTTCAGGATCCACGAGTTATGACCACTTTGAGTGTATTACTTGGAGTAGATCTAGGCACTGTGGATGATGATGATGAGGAACCGCCGCCACCACCTCCCACTCAGCCGAAAAAAGAGAACAAGCCTGAGCCAATGGAAGAAGATCTCCCTGAAAATAAGAAACAGGTGAGAAATTATAAATTTGAATTCCACCCAGTGCTGGAAACCTAACAGGAGGGTAGAACCTGCAGCTTTTACCAAAATAATATAGCTTTGTGTAACCTCAAACCACTTGGAGGTTTATTTTATTTAACTTCAGCCATTACATGTTCAAAAATATGTAGGCTGCCTTCCTAAACTTTCTAGTTTCTTCACTATCTCAAACGTCATTATTTCCTGACTTATAGACACACCTGTGTATGATGTCTGAATGCCTGATCTTCTTAGTAGTTTTTCCTCACTTATTCAGAAAATGTTAAATCCTGCAGATCTGTATGGCAGATTGATGCCTAAAATGTTTATTAGGCACTTGGCAGTGGCTGCCTATGTATTTCTCCTTTTTAAGACGCATCTGTATCATGAAAATATAAAATAATGTACTCCCCTAATCACACCATTAAATGAGGCTACTGTGTTTAATGCAGAAGGCTTAACTCTTCCTGCTCCGCAGTGGTTGG